AATGACCAAAATAAAGCAGAATGCGTATTGTGGAAAAGAGAGAAGTTATCTTTCTTTTGTTAGTATTGAGCTCTGTATGTTTGTATGACCTGCCTGGAAAGTGTTACATCAGAAGAGGCTGTGAACTGGAACCACACAGCAAGAGCAAGCTGGAGAACAGTGGGCAAAGGACATGTAATGCCCTATTCAGCAAAAGCAGTGAGGTGGTTGTTAGATGGCAGTGTCTCTTCATAGGGCAAGATTAATATTCCCAGGTGAGGTACACAAATTCACTGGTGATAACTAAGAAGTCCAAGTTCAAAAAGGCCATGGAAGCAGTTGCTGATAGTCTGTCCCCTTCTTTCTTACAGCCCCCCTATAGAAACTGAAAGGCCACTCTGAGATGTCCCTGAAGCCCACCGGAGTAGCTTGTACCTACTGCAGCCCTATTGCTATTTTGACGCCAAAGCAAAATACAAGGTTAACATTGCACAGTTTAGATGTGTATTTCATGTAAATGTTTTTGTTGGTTTTTTTTCCCCCTAAAATTCTTCAATGGAGTTTCCATCAAAACCAGTGTAAAAGCTTTGCAGACCTTTGAGATCAGGCTAACAGGCTTTGTAGCTTGAATGGACTGAAACTTCCAGGGAAAGATTGACTGGTAATTTCTATGCCCCCATCCTCCTCTACAATTTTTTTTCCTTTCATTTGATCTTTATATAACTAATGCTTTGCTGTTTTCTGATTTTGGGCTGCAGTAATCCAGTACTGTGATGGGATTTTAGGGAAAAAGTCAGGTGAAATCAAGCGCCTCAAAGTGAACTAGTAAAGATTTAGGAATGCTGACTCGCAAATCCCTATAGAAAAACTGTGACAGTGAATAGTTTCAGGCAGAGAGCGAGAGAGAGAAGATGGATCTTTTTCCAAAAGGATGAGTTCTGCAGGAGATAGATAAAAACAGGTATCCATACAGTTGATATTCTGTATCATAAACAGTGCCATCAATGACATTGTTGTCTGCCTGGGAGAAGTAAAATGAAAAGAGGAAGTTTGTGGATTGCTCTGGGTTAGGAAAATGTAGAAGACTACAAAGTAAGTCATTTAGTTTAAATAGGTTTTCTGTGGATCATATAAAGATGAAACATGATTCCTCAGACTGTTCTGGGAAGGACATCTTTCATGTTTTTAGATTCGTGTGAGACAATGGCCATTTTGTTTTCTGCATTTCTAGATCATCTAGGTTGTAAGACATAAATATTTTGTGCTACACCCCAGTGATCTTGCCTTTGTTCTGTTTCCTTTAAGATAAAAGAAATTGTTGTAGACTGAAGATGGTTTCCATTGCTTATGGCAATCACAACTTGAACAAAAAAGTGTTAACATTCCTATTTAACATTTCCTCACCAATATTGAGAATAGGAAAGAACTATATACATGAGTACAACTTTAATTTCAAAAGTCCTTGCAGTGAGTTTTACTTTTTATTCTTTGAATATTCTAGCCATTATTAGTAGGCCAAGGCTTTGGTGAAGGTCACTGGAGTCACAGAGTTCAATAATCTGGCTACTAGCAAAGAACAGGACAGTGTTCTTTTCTTATCCAGATTATAGCTGTGAACCAGGGTGGCTGGAATAAGGTGCCTGTGTCCTGATACTAGTTTTATAAAATCTATCAGATTAGAAGGATCAAGCCTTAGCCTTGTTAAAGCCAGGCATTTCCACTTGACTTGGATGTCTTTCAGCTGAGCTTTGAGAGGCATTTGAGAAAATCCAGGTTCAGTCTGAAAAAGCATCTTCTAACCTTCATGTACGTCGTCTCCATCTGACAAGCCGTGGCACTGTACATTTTCTACCTTCAAAAATCCGTTGGGAATGCTATCATTTTGATCTCATATCTGTTCTGACATAGGTATCTCCCAGTTTTGCCAGGGGAAATATATTTATTTCATGATTGATATCAAGGTTTCCTCATGTGTTATCTGCCTGAGGCTGACATTGTGTTGCTCTTCTGTAGAGGCCTACATATTAGAGCTTGTAGGACTGTTCTCTGCAGTTTCTTGACTGAAAGCCTTAACATTGATTTACCAGCTGATGTTAGCTGCTTCTTCTATCATGTTAGCTTTGCCTTAAAAAAAAAAAACAACAGGAAGAATCAGATCCTGGACCAACAGCAGTAATAAACACTGCCTTTTACTTCTATCGGGGGCAAAAATTAGGGTCAAGACATTGAATTGTAATTTTCTTGCTGTAACATGCAACTACGCATGAAGGCTTGATTAACTCTATAAACTGACCCTTCACTGATTCCAGGAAGGTCCCTCTTAATGCCTGTTGGAGCTGCTGAAAATCTTGAAAAAGCAAACAAAAAGGCCTTTGAGATGTGTCCAGTCATCTATGAATGGGACCTAGAAATTTCCAGGTCATGTTTTAGTCAGTATTTGTGCTCTTATATGCAGTGGATGAGAGTGAATCCTTCTCTGACATCCTGGAGCAGACAAATCCATTGCCTACAGCGTATGTCTCAGACTTTACTTAGAGCTCAATCAGGTAAATTTACTTTCAGTTCTTGCAATTTTATAAAGCTGATCCAGTGACATAAATACTTCCTGAACTTGTTAATTGAACACTCTGTTACCACCATGTTACCATGCATCAGCCAAGCAGAGCTGACTTTTGACTTCACCAAAGTCAGTTTTAACTGTTCTGCTTAGTTGGTACTTAGTTGTTGTTTTCCCCATTCTTCCTGAAAGAGCAGCTAAGCCAATTCTAACCACTTTGGATTTGATGTGAGCTCCAAGCAGACATGGGCAATTACTACAGCACACTTGACACAAAGTAATGTTTGCAGCACAGTAAGCTGGCCAGTTTTCTGGAGTTTTTCCTGTCACAAGGACTGTTCTAGGTCTTAGTGCTCACTGAGCAATGAGTAGCTTGGAAGGCAAAAAAATCCCCATTTGTGTTAAGCAGTGGCTGACTGCTGCTTCAGTCTCAAAATTGCACGAGGTTTATAAATGTGAGTGTGATCAGTGGAATGTATAATCCAGTCTCAGCCAAATCAATCTCTTAATTCTTCTCCTACAGTTGTTTTTTTTTTTTACAGAATTGTTCTGGATAATTTTATGTTATATTAAAATACCCTGTTAATTAATTTTTAATGCACTTAAATGTAACCTCTGTGATTTCATTAACGGTGTGCTCTTCTTTATATCATGAGAGCACACTTGATCTACCCTCCCTGTATACTTCATTGTCTTGGGTTCTTCTGGCATATCCTAAATTAGTTAATCACCAATGTGAACTGTCAGTCTGTTTAATTTTTGTTCTTATGAAAATCTCTAATTCCCTAGCAGTGCTCATTGTCTTCCTCTTAGACCCCTGCTGTTTCAGCTTTAATGTTTTTGAAAGAGTGCTTTTGATTTATATAAGGTCATTATAATTACGTATTTTCTGTTCTCCAGCATTTGTCTGTATTCTGAATAGCTTTGCCCATTTATCATTGTGTAAGATTCTGTTGTATTCATACAGTGCTGCAAGAAAACAATTTTTCTTCAGTTTTGCATGGCAGTGTGTGTAGATCAGAATGCTGTCATAACATCGGTGATTGGAAACTTGAGACTAAATCAAAGAGACTAAATATAGAAGTCGTAGTCATTTCATATGTTATTTCACTGACAGTAATGGAAGCTGAACCAAGCTTTTTAATGGAATTATTAGTAAGGAAAACGTGGTTCATGCAAGCTGCCTTGTTGAATTCATGTTGTCTTGATTTACAAGACATAGCTCCAGCCATTTAGATGGATACTTTAAAATATTCTGAAGTATTGACAATGTTCTGAAAAAGTTCTCTATGCTAATATAAACCTGTGAAAATACTGAAACAATCACTGAATTAAAAGATTCCTTTGTTTTTATATCAGAGAGTAAATAATAATGAGTAAGAGGATGAGTAGAACTTACAGTAAAATGTTTTTTCTTTTGCAGTCTGTAAGTGTGTGATTCAGGCCAGAATACTATTACTATTTGAAGATTCATGAACTTAAGAAAGTCATGGACCACATGATATTATATGATAAAATCAGTTTAAATGATCTAAATTCTGAATATGTTAGAATTATGACGTTCTAGTGCCAGTCTTACAAAAGAAATGAAACAACTGTCCACTGTACTGGGCAAAGTTGGAGAAGGCAGTACGTTGTTATAACATGTAAATATGTTACGTGTTAAATGTGCAAAAAAAAAAAAAATTATACTGTTGGATACTTCTTTTTTGATTACTGGCTAAATTAAAAACTTTTTATAAAAAGTCAGTAGATGAATATTTAGAATCAGTTTTCTCCACTTAAAGAATGAGTGATGTGGTACACAAATGAGCTGGTGCCCTATGCATGCATCAAGGCCATATAATACTGTTGCAATTTTTACTTGACAGCTAAGAGAGAAACTCATTGCAATTCTGCATTGTTGCCTGATATTTCACATGATATTTCAGAACATTGCTTGTGATCCCCAAATGATGCATTTCCAGTCCTCTGGGAGGAGTATGCCCTCCCAAATGAAGATCAGCTATGAAGCTTCTGTGTCACAGCCCAACCTGCAATACTGTGTGTGTTTGTGTGTCTGCAGTTAGACACTAAGCTGCAAATTATCAGCCTCCTTTCATAGTATTTATGGCAGCTACAACAGCACTGGGAAGTGAGATGCCTTCAGCATGAACACCAGGATCACTGTGGTGGGATAACAGATTATGGCGCCAAACCGTTTTGCTGAATGCCCACTCAGCTCTGGGATCCAGGTTTCCTTCTACCCCAGTGGCTTTGTCTGCAATTGCAAATGCTATTAGAGGTTATACTCCAGTGACTTTAGAGAAAATGACCCTTTCTTGAAGTTTACTTATTCCAAAACTCTGTTTTCTCCTTCTTGTTACCTATTTCTATCCTTCCCTGACAACACGTACATATATTTTTGACATTTTTCTTCATTTCCTCCTAGATACTAATGCTAACTCCTGTTTTTCTCTTGCAGCTTTTTCTGTACTCATTCCACAGCTGAATCTCTTGAGCCGAGAAAGAACATGTATCTGTGCCCCTTACAACATGGCCTTGGGCAGTAGAATGCATCCCATATGGAACTTTATGACTTCAGGTAAGAAAGAAGTAATTAAAGCAGATGAATTTTAAGAGAACTGCTTATATGCAAATATATTAGTGGAAGTCTGATTCAGATGTCTGTGGGCTAAATTATGAAAAAAGTATTGCTCATTTAAAAATTCATTATAAAGAACATAAAATGAATTTCAAAATATGTTATGAAATAAGAACTCGTGAAACCCCCAACTACTTTAAAGCAGTCTGAAGTACAACACAGTGTATTTTTTCTTTCTATTATTATTTCGAATTTTAATTATTTATTGATGTGGTGTTATTTTTTCCATCTTCAGCTGCTTTTAGTAACTTCAGCTTTTACACCATCTCTTTTAATGGTGTTTTTTTTTTTTTTAATGTTAAAACTCAGAGGGTATTTCCAATTTCATTTACCGCACGTTCCTACTGGATTGGTAATGGATGCCATGTTTTGACTATTTTAGTAGAGAGATTACTTTTGCAATTCCCTATCTTGATCAAACAGTACAGATTGGGTATTATTAAAATCCAGAATGAATATTTCACTATAATGTGGGCTCACTATTAAAATAAAAACATGAATATGCTATAAAAGTCTTGATGTATAATTCTTACCATAAATTATTGCTTGCATCAGAAACAGTGTTGCCAGCAGGAACAGGGCAGTGATTGTCCCCCTGTACTCAGCTCTGGTGAGGCCGCACCTCGAGTGCTGTGTCCAGTTTTAGGCCCCTCATTGCAAGAAAGACATTGAGGCCCTGGAATGTGTTCAAAGAAGGGCAACAAAGCTGGTGAGGGGTCTGGAGCACAAGCCATATGAGGAGAGGCTGAAGGAGCTGGGGTTGTTCAGCCTGGAGAAGAGGCGGCTCAGGGGAGACCTCATTGCTCTCTGTAACTGCCTGAAGGGAGGTTGTAGTGAACTAGGGGTTGGCCTCTTCTCTTGTGTAACTGGTGATAGGACTAGAGGGAATGGCTTCAATCTGCACCAGGGAAGATTTAGACTGGATGTTAGGAAATACTACTTCTCTGAAAGAGTGGTCAGGCACTGGAATGGACTGCCCAGGGAGGTGGTGGAGTCACCAACCTTGGAGGTGTTCAAGGAATGTTTGGACGTTGGGTTGAGGGATATGGTTTAGTGAGAGCTATTGGTGATATGTGATATGGGTGATCTTGTAGGTCTTTTCCAACCTTGGTGTTTCTGTGATTCTGTTGTTGTGTAGGCATGGAATGTACAAATTGTGTTATTATGCAAGATATGTTATTGTCAAATTAGTTCTTGTTCTGAGCAGATCATGCTATCCTTGCTCATTTGTCTTGTCATTTTCTAGAGATGGGAATACGTATCTTTCTTGGTATCTCTTTCTTTGTATGTACACACACATATATATTTGTACTTTTACCTGCTTTAGTTAAATCTTCAGCATTTTGTTTTTATTATATTCAGATCTGCTTCTCAGCTTTGCCTGAAGTTGTATCTGTAGAATAGCTGTAGATCTCTTTCCTCCATGGGTGTCAGTCAGAAGACTCCCTGGTACTGAGGAACTCCCAGCTAAGATGTGATTAGCAGATATTTTGCAAAATGCATTTATTTCTTTCACTGTTCTGTTTAAAACTTTCTTTTTGGTAACATCATGAAACCATATGCTTTTTGGGGCAAAGACTGCATCAGGGAGGGAGGTCTCTAATTAGAATTGGAGAAAACACTGGGATACGGTTAAGCACTAAAAACCTGAAACTTAAGAAAAACTGTGTGAAATACATGTTGATGCCATTAAAACAGAATGTGGAATACTGGTGGACTTATCATGTGGAAATGTTCTCTAGGAAGCTGGAAAAGGATAGAAATGGTGGTTAACAACTTCAGGGGACAACACTTGAGAGTTTTTACTGCTGACGAAGACCATCCTTGATGGCTTTTTTCAATTATAAAGCAGAAAACAAAATCTTACCTGGTTACTTTCTGGGATGAATCAGTCCGGTGGGAGTGATGGGTTAACTCAATGGGTATCAAGGAAAGTACACCAATTAGCTTAGACATTACAGATTAGTCTCTGAAATAATTCTAACAATTTTGATATGATTTGGTGCATAGACTGTATCAGTTATTCAAGAATTGCGAACTTCATTGAGATTTGTTGGGTGACAAATCTCTTGGTCTTCTGTTGTTCCAGACTTAGCTTGTCAATAAGTAGTGGATGGTGACAAATGTCATAATATTTCAAGATCCTTTCTAAAGAATGGTGGATGTAACTTGTTAGAGGAGATATTATACCTTGCTAAACAGCCACTAGAGTTCAAAAGATAATACATTTTTTTTCTGTAAATTTCTAAAGAAAGCACTAAATGTAAGCATGTTTATCAGTTTAATCTGAGGAAGAAATAGACTAACAGAGTCCTGAAAGTTAAAGGACTGGTTTATGTTGTCTTCAAGGTCATTCTCCAAATCTGCTGACATTGTTAAATTAACTTCTGCTGTTACAAAACCAAAATTATACTGAATAGTATCCAAGTAAACTACAGCCAATATTTTTCCACTGTTGACGTGTCACAGCTATTCAGCTGTGTATTGATACAAAGATTTTTAGAGCTGCGTTAGGTGAATTGATGGTCACGTGTGCTGAGAATGGTGGCTAAAATGCCTCATTCTGTGCATTTCAGCTCAGTTTAACTCTGTAGCCCTACCAGAATTAAGTAGCCTCTTTGCTATAAGGCATCTTGCACTTAATTCATGTTCCATCACATGCATCTCAGAAAAATCATTCTGCTTTGTAGAGGAGTTGGATGTTTTACAGTGACTTACTTTTCTGCATTCTTTCCTCGTCTACATACTTACACAAATACTGTTTGAATTAGGCTGTTAAAACTTTATGCATAAATCTTAATACTGTATGCTGCTCTCTTGCACAAGCTCAAAGTGAGTTGCCTTCCCAGTGACATTGCTGAAGTAGGAACGTATGAGGACTGCTCCAAAAGTATGACCTCTGCTTTTATTATGTTGGCCTGTGACATCACACGTAGATGTTGGTGGTATGGCAGTAAGGGTTGAACCTTCCTGCCGATACTCCATTACATTTTGTTGCCATATGACAGATGACAAAAGAGGGGCAGTCTGGCAGATGGTGTCTGACGTGCAGATATATATGAATCAAAGGTGGAATTGAATCTCTCCATGTGAAAACAAATGGCACCCATTGACATTAATTGATACCTATTGAACACTGAATGTTTAGGGAGACCAGCCAATGAATGTGAGCATGGTGAGATGATGGGTGGTACATTTCAACAGTGGTGACATCAGCAGTGGGTCATTTCCATTTGAGCATGGCATGCAGGTTTTTTTCATGAATGGTGAAAATATATAGCTAATGATGGTGACTATGTTGAAAAACGGAGTTTTATGGCTGAGAATTTGCTCTATCAAATAGCGCTATTGTGCTCTTTGTGTCTTGGGCATTGCAAGCACCAAAACAGCTGTTCTTGAGGCTGACTGTTTACTAGTTCAAAATTCTAGGTTTGCTACCCAAACAAATGGTTGAATCTACAGACACCTGGAGCTACAAAAGTCTGAGAACATTAAAGCTATGTGTGCATGCACGTACATCTGCATCTCGGTATGTCTATGTCTGTAACGTGTGTTTTGTTCTTATTGCTCTCAAGTAGAAGTGCTGTAAAATTTTTAAGCAGCTGCCCTTTCCGATAGGTGCTACCTTGGGACTCATTCCATTGTTCATTGAAAGTCAATGACAAAGATCCCATTACCTTTACTCTTGCAGGATCGGGGCTTTAAATGAAATGACCAATCCTGCTGTGCTTTTCCTCATGAATATTCACTTGAACGGTACCATGGTATTACTTTTGGCTTCACTGACTTGTTTCTGCAATAGCTCTTCGTAAATGTTTTTATCAGTATTTGGTCAGGACCAGTGGATGTCGGTGGAAACATAAGTTTAGCAAACATTAGAACAAAATTCTTAACAAATAATTCTAATTAATAAGCAGAGGTAATCGTACAAGGAATCTGATGCAGAGATGTTACGCAGCAAATTAAAATCCAGAGACAGATCATGTGATTCTTGGGTTCAGAAATGTTCAGAAAAGTCTGGCGTTTGAACCCCAGATGCTTCTAAATAATGAATGGCTGACATGCAGGCCACAGACCAGGAATTATTTGCCAAGTATGTAGGGGTATGAGGAATTTAGTCAGGCTGTTTGCTTACTTGTGCCATCCTGTCCTTCACAACAATCAGAAAATAGTATCAAATTTTCTAAAAGACAAAACTTTACTTGCTAATTGTGGATGTTTGTCTTTAGGGTGTAGTCTTTGTCCATGGAAGTTACACAGAGTTACTCTGTGTCTTAGTAGAAACTGCTACTTTTCATTCGTTTTGATGTTACCCTTTTTACAAGAGTGAAATTTATTCAGACTGAAGTGCCTCTACAAGAATTCTACGTATGTCACACACATTATGTTATTTCAGGAGGGAATAGGAAAGGAAATACTCTGCAGAATTGCTGCAGAAAACAATTTTTGTTCCTTGCATTATTGCTTTATCTCTTCTACTTCATTATGGCAGTAGAACTGAATGCAAATGAGAAAAATGGACCAATCCCAGATACCCATTTTGTGGGATTTAACTTAGGAATTGAATATCCAGCTTGAATTTTTTTCTAGGCAATTTGCAAGTCAGATTATGTGAAAAATCCAGACAGTGTACATTTTTATCCTGGGCATAGGAGCGTTTCAGCTTTCTCTCATCATTGTTTTATGAAGAAAGTGGCGATAAAAGGCCTCTCACTTCAGGACTGTGGATGTAACATTATCTGCCTCCTCCATGCCTCTGTCTCTCTAGGTTCTAGCAGAGTGATTTAGAAGTCCAGGGGTATCTCGGTTCTTCCGATAACATGGGCTTTCTTTTGTTTTTCATCTCTTACATCTTTTCCTTGTGGAATCCGACCTACAAATATGTTCACAGATGAGGGGCACCTTTTGAATTCCTTGACAATATATGTAACTTTCATAAT